ACACACTTGTAACAGTCGACCTGGTAAGCACACACCTGCTCGTGCGTGCCTTCATGCACGCTGTTCTGTGTGTGTACATTGTCGACAGTTGGTTTGGTTTTGCTGGAAAGCGTGCCCTTTTTTCGCTTCACTAGGCTTTCCTGCGTTGCACAGTTAAAATGATATCTTGTAATTCAAGCAGATTGCGTGAAATTCAAGGAAAAATGACTTGGATTTCAAGCCATCTGCTTGAATGACAAGACACCTTTTTTTACCGTTTGCTGAACGCCTAACCGTTTGCTCACAGCAATCGCACAACGCAACAAACTCGCGGAAAACAGGGCTGTTCGACTTTTGTTTAACATAGCGGAAGTTGCCCACGGTGGATTCGGGAGGAATTATGATATGTTATGTATAGTTCTCTTCTCACTGAGACCCCTCTATATGTATGTGCTGAATTTCAATGGTATACAAGCACCCGATTCACTAAAGGGGCCATCCATTAAGTACGTCCGAGCTCGATGGGGAGGGGGGGGTCTCTCAAAAAGGGATGTCGATGGACCTGGGGGAGGGGGGGTCAATTTGGGGTCAAAAACCGCGGACGTACTTAATGGATGGCCCCAAACGCGGTGCCCGCAGCCGACCCAATATCAATTTCCTGAGGGCGCGAGCAACAGTGTGTAGGAAAATGTTATATATTCCGCCGACTGTTGCACCCCTCAACGAAATCACAGCATGTTTTGCAGTAGCGTAATAACCATAATCATTTACCCTCTAGTATAGCTCTTTCTCACCAATCTTATATTTATGTAGCGTTCGTGGAACTCTACCAACTAACCTTTTTTGTAATTAGCCAAATTGTTTTTTGTCCCAGGCGCACATTATTTCAGCCTTCTCCCAGCAAAGTCCGTTGTTTTCCATACCTCCCTTTCGCCACAATCAAAATTACACGAAAATAAATTATCGATACATAATGCTCATATTGCAGCCGGACAGGACCAGACCGAGCGCAGCCCAGCCCGCCCACCTCAGCCCCTCGCTGCCCTAGCAGTGCCGCGCGTCGCCG